ACAGAAAGACGTGTTATAAATGTTGCTCAGACAGTTCGCACTAGAGCTGGAGACGGGACTCTGCATCATCTGGGCTGCTGTTTTATTCAGCCCATAAGGAATCCCTAAGGGTTTGCTCTTTGTTGAAGCAAACTATCAAAACACTCTCAGAGGCCCACTAAAATGTAGGTTCAGTGGCATGCTAGTGGATCTGGTTTTAGGATAGGCTATAGCTGGTAGAGCACATGTACTACATCCAGAAAATCCAAGGTATCTACGTGAAGGGGTAAGGAAAAAAAATCCTGCCTCACCTGGAGATCAACTACTAGTCTGCATAAACAATACTTGTCCAGTAGAGCAGTGGTCTGAACCAGTATAAGGGAGCTTCTTACATTCACATCACAGCCTCTCACAAGCTGGGAGCTGCTGCATAATCCAAGGTAACCCAAAGAAGAAACAACAAATCTCTCAATATATTCAATGTGTTTTGGCCTATATGTGCTCTTGAGCAGGGGGCTACATAAAATAAAAATCAATGTTTAAATACATACTATCAGATTGTATAATATCATTATTATATTTGCCTATATCATGTACATACCTGCTTTAAATTAAGCGCCAGAAATTTCTGCTCAAGAGCACACATAGGTTGAAACACCTTTGATATTATTTATTCATTTAATGATACACTACCATCTTTTGAGCAATTTGAGTTGTGTCTCTGGTTTCTTCTGCGGATTCCATGGATGCTCCCCAGTTTTTTATTCTTTTAATCCAATGTTACACCATGGAATTTATCTTTTGGTCCCTCTTCCGGTGGCTTTATTTACAGAAAGAATGTATTTCATGGTACTCCTCTACTCCCGAAATACCTTCTATTGGGAGTACTAACACAATATTATCATTCCAGCACAGATCCTTCTGTTTATATTGACTGAATAGTGCTATGTATGGGGGTGGAGTAGGGTGGTCTCATTCCAGACACCAAGAAAAACAGTCACTTGTGAACAACCAAAAAGATAACACTTGTACATCTCTTGTACATTGTTAGTACCAGCCAAGCAAAAGCAGCCTGTGATCCAAACAAAAGGAGATAAATCTCCACCACAATAGTGGGGTGAAGGTCCTCCCTGCTTTGACCACAAGCCACTGGTAAAACCAAAGCAAGGAAAATTTAAAGTGGATTACGTATTTAGTACAGCTAAATTTATTTTTCTCTGCCTTTCTCTATGCTTGCAGTGAAGAGTTCTCTGTGTTATGTACTGTCAAGTCACCTTCAAATTATGGAAACACTATGAATGAGAGAGTTCCACAAGACCTTGTTATTAACAGCCCTGCTGTGGTTCTGCAAACACAGGCAAATGTATATCATAGGACTCTAGCCTGAATAATATTAATAGGAAAAGCAAATTGTCTACTAGCCATCAAAGTAACACACGTGAGTTCTTTTTTTGTGAAAATGTCCTCAGGCTAGCAGGTATGCACTATGGGAACAATACCCACTGAAGTACGAAGTACAAGTACTGTATAGTTTGCTATCATTCATGGACTGATACTGAAGGAATGTCCCCACTCCCCAGTTTAATGCCCTAATCCAGGGGTAGGCAACCTAAGGCCCGGGGGCTGGATGCGTCCCCCCGAGGCCTTTGGACTGGCCCTAGGTCGGTCCTGCCACCGCCACCCCCCGCCACAATGATATTATTGTTGTTACTACTTTTTCTTGGGGTTTTCTTGGCAAAATCTCCACAGGGGTTTTGCCATGGCTTTTCTGGGGCTGAGAGAATGTGCATGCATATTTTTAATTTTTAATATTTATTTATTTATTTATTTAGGGTGCTTCGGCCCCCCAATTGTCTGAGGGACAGCAACCTGGCCCCCGGCTCAAAAATGTTGTCTACCCCTGCCCTAGAGGATACCCCACCTGCTGCTACATGGGAAGATCAAGGATTGAGAAATACCCACCTCCCACAGGAAGTTATGTTCATTCAAATGGCTAAGTGGGTAAATTCTTCTACTCTTGTCTAATTTAAGCAACCATTCACTAATAAACTAACATGATTTTATGTTGTTATTCTGTGCCTTCATGTCGTTTCCAACTTATGGTGACACTATCATAGGGTTTTCTTTCTTCAGAGAGGGGTTGCCATTGCTATCTTCTGAGGTGGAGAGATTGTGACTTGTTCAAGGTCACCAAGTAGGTTTACATGGCCTAGCTGGGATTTGAACCTTGGTCTCCAGAGTCCTAGTCCAACACTCAAACCACTATACCATGCTGGCTTTAAATGATTAGCACACTGTGGCTAGCTAATGCAACATCTTTATCTGGAGTTACCAACTGAAACGCCTACTGGAGTTGGACTTTCATTTCTCTAGTAAGAGTACTGTGCTAAATCTAGGAAATCCTGGATCCAGATTCCTTAAAAACCAATGTTGGTATTGCAACTCTTTTTACATAGTGAATAGAGCTTAAATGCTATTGAAATAACTCACCACCACCAATAATCAATTTTTATTATGATGCACCCTACCAAACTAGCTCTATCACAGGATGTTCTTGGCAAGCTTTATTCAGAGGAGGTTTGCCCCTGTATTTCTCTATGGATGAGAGAGGTCCAAGGCCACCCAGTGGGTCTCCATGATTGAATGGGGATTTGAAACTCAAAGTCTTACTCAAACATTCAAACCACTACAACCACACTGACTCTCTGCACCACACTAGAACAAGTTGCAGGGGGCTAAGTGTACAATTATGGATTCAGAAGAGCACCACCTCTTTTAAAAGTCCAAATATATGCTTAGTGACCCACTTCTTAATGTTTTTAGGTATATTTGCATAGCTGCTACACCTCTTAGTTCAGATTCAGTAGACCACAAGATCAATGAAAGAAGGCAAGACAAAGCTGATGTAAGACCATTCGACCAAAATTAGTGCAGGGGTTGCTGCTCAATGTAGATAACATACTTTATATGTAGAAGGTCTCAATTCTTGACATCACCAGATAGGGCTAGGAAAGGATTTTGCCTGAAATTCCTAGACGGATTAATGGGCTGCACCAGTAGAAGTTCCTTATGTCTCTAATGCAGGGGTTTTTAACTTTTTTGGTCTACACATCCCATGGAGGTCCATGGATATGTTTCAGGGGGTTCATGAACCAAGTACAAAAATTAATTGATTGACTGATGTTTGGTCTTCAGTTTAAGTACATTTTTCTGGAGATAAGCTTTCAACAGATTCTCCAAGAGGACCATGACCTGAAACAGGTTAAGAATCCTGCTCTACTGTGAGCCAAAGGAGAGCAAATGATGGACAGCACTTGACCTGCTGCTTATCCAAAACTCAGTCTCCATCTTAAAATTCAGAATTCCTCAAATTTAGCAACAGTGTATAAGAAATACTTGTTTCCTTGCACATCTATAATGAAGAAACAAGAAGAGGAACAGGAGCTGGAGAAAGTGGTGATAATGATAGTAGTTAAGCATTCTGCAGATGTGGGCACACTTTTTTCTTTTTTTAAATTAACATTATAAAAAGACAAACAAACAGCTATACTCATACTCATACATCACAGATATACAAAAACAAATTTAACCCTACTTACTAAACTTCCCAAACTGTGCATATGAAAATCAATATTTACTTTATGACTGACAATTATGACTCTTAACCTTTCTCATACTTATTAAAACACAATCTATAGAATCTTGAATAACAATAAACAATCATTATGTTTAAACCATGGACTAATTAAAACCATCATAAAACTGGAAATAACTATAAAGAGTTATCAAATATTAGGATCTTAGAGCATCAAATATTAATCTCTTGCAACTCTTACCACACAGGAGAATCTGATATCACACTTAATAAGGAACCACATTTGAAATAAGAAACACAATGAAAATTGAGTTAAGTAACAATTATCTTCAATCTAGTTACTTTCTATTATATATATATATATATATATATATATATATATATAAAAGAGAAAAAATGAAAAAAAAAACCCTTCAACCATACTTTAAACTAATAACACAAATATGACAGGGATATAACTGCAATTATAACCAGAGTATAAACTATAAAACATATTAATAATCCTATAATGCTATATATCTCTTATGTCCTTGCACATAAGAGATTCACGAGTTCCATTCTTTGTAAAAACCTGATAAAGCCTTTTTTTAAAAAATTAAATATGATAACTTATCCAATTTATAAAAGTCATAGAGTTTTAATTTCCATTCCTCCAAGGCTGGAATCTCTTTCTGTTTCCAGTATTTAGCATATAATATTCTGGCAACGATTATTGCCAAGAACATTATTTTCCCTTCCTCCTTTTCTAACTTGTTATCGCCTAACACAGGGGTAGGCAACCTAAGGCCCGGGGGCTTCTCTGCCATCCACAGTGTAGCGTATGATACTAAGTCAGTGGGTCCCAAACTTTGGTCCTCCAGGTATTTTGGACTTCATCTCCCAGAAGCCCCAGCCAGCTTGTCCAACAGTCAGGAATTCTGGGAGCTAATGTCCAAAACCACTGACATAGACAGTATCATGCGCTAATGTCCAAAACATCTGGAGGACCAAGGTTTGGGATCTACTGGTCTAAGTTGTCGCTGACGTTGTTATAGGCCTTCAGGTCGACTTCAACGTATGGCAACCATCTTTTTCTTGATAGGCCACTGCCTTCTCTTAAGGCTGAGAGTGTGTGACTTGACCAAGGTCACCCAGCAAGTTGTCATGCTTGAACAAGAATTTGGAACACCTTGGCTCTCCCAGAGGCCTAAGCAGGAGCTGCACTGCAGAAATAATCCAGTTTAACACGGCTTTAAGTACCATTTCTCCCAAAAGGGACCCAAGGCACCTCACAGATATTTTTTTTTAAAAATTACAATAAAATTTAAAAAGTTGGGGAAAAGCAAGGTACAAATAATTAATAATTAATAATAATAATAATAATAATAATGAAAAAGAAGAAGCACCAGCACCAGTAGCACCACCAGCACCAGCAGCATCACCAGCAGGCAGCATGGTGCAGTGGTTTGAGCGTTGGACTACGATTCTGGAGCCCCGGGTTCGAATCCCGGCTCAGCCTTGGAAACCCACCGTGGGCAAGTGTCATTCTCTCTCAGCCTCAGAGGAGGGCCAGGGGCCAGGGGCCAAACCCAGCCCCCCTCCCACTCTGAAGGTACTTGCCAAGAAAACCCCACACACTGGAAGGCACACAACACCAATTACGCCGGCCTCGGGCTTTGCAAAGCCAATCCTCCAGAAGAGAGGTCACCCACCTCCCAAGCCTCCCAGAGCCCCTTCCCCTCCTCGCCCATCTCCAGCCACCCGCCATTAAAGCCCTGGCACTCACTCCCTGGCGCCAGCCGCGCCCTTCTTCCCGCCGCCGAGGCTGCCCAGCCAGAAAGGGATGCTGCTCTGCCGAGGGAGTGCCGCCTCCTCCTCCTCCTCCTCCTCCTCCTTCTTCCTGCTTCCGAGTCTGCGAGGAGGGGCGAGGGGAGAGGCGAGAGGCGCCTGGACCCGGCCAGGAAGGGCCCCGACTCCTATCCTTCGGAGAGAGCGGTGGGGCTGCCGCCTTCAGGGCCCTCCATTGAGGCTGCCTCTGTGGGGCCCACAGTTTTCCTCCTCCACCCCTCCCAGCCAAGGGAACCCCATCTCCTTCTCTTCCTCCTCCTCCTCCTCCTCCTCTCCCTCTCCCTCCTCTTTCTCTTCCTCTTCCTCTCCACCTCCTCCTCTTCTTCTTCTTCCTCTTCCTCTTCACCTCCTCTTCTTTTTCCTCGTCCTCCTCTTCCTCTCCACCTCTTCTTCTTTTTCCTCTTCCTCCTCCTCCTCTTTCTCTCCACCTCGTCCTCCTCTTCTTCCTCCTCTTCCTCTCTACTTCATCTTCTTCCTCTTCCTCCTCCTCCTCTCCACCTCCATTTCTTCTTCCTCCTCCTCTTGCTCTTCCTCCTCTTCCTCTCCACCTTCTCTTCCTTTTCTTCTTCCTCTTCCTCTTCTCCTTCCTTTTCCTCTTCCTCCTCTTTTTCCTCCTCTTCCTCTCCACCTCCTCTTCTTCTTCCTCTTCCTCTTCCTCCTCTTTCTCTCCACCTCCTCTTCCTTTTCCTCTTCCTCCTCTTCTTCCTCCTCTTCCTCTCCACTTCCTCTTCCTCCTCTTCCTCTTCTTTCTCTTTCTCTTCCTCCTCCTCTCCACCCCTATTTCTTCTTCCTCCTCCTCTTGCTCTTGCTCTTCCTCCTCTTCCTCTCCATCTCCTCTTCTTCTTCCTCCTCCTCCTCCTCTTTCTCTTTTTCTCTTTCTCTTTCTCCTCTCCACCACTTTCTTACTCTTCCTCCTCTTCCTTTTCCTCAAAGAAGGACCAGGCGCCTGCACATGGAGGACCTCTGGAAGACCAAAGGGAGGGCATGGTGACCAAAAGCAAAGCTCAAAAAACATGCCCAAGATGGAGAGAGAGGCCATGGTCCCCTTGGAGAATCTGTTGAAAGCTTATCTCCAGAAAAACAAAAACATGTACTTAAACTGAAGACCAAACATCAGTCAATCAATCCATTTTTGTTCTTGGTTCATAGACCCCCTGAAACATATCCATAGACCTCCATGGGATGAGTAGACTAAAAGTTAAAACTCCCTGCATTAGAGACATAAGGAACTTCTGGTGAAGCCTATTAATCCATCTAGGAGTTTCAGGCAAAATCCTTTTCTAGCCCTTTCTGGTGATGTCAAGAATTGAACCTGAAACCTTCTACATATAAAGTTATAGGATCAATATTGAGCAGCAGAAGAGTGCCACCGCTTTTAAAAGTCCAAACATGGGCATAGTGACCCACTTCTTCATGTTTTTAGGTATATTTGCATGGTTGCTACATATCTTAGTTCAGATTCAGGAGACCACAAGAGGGCAAGAGAAAGCTGATGTAAGACCATTCAACCAAAATTAGTCCCTGGGTTATATGTCTGTTGTTCCCACTTGAAACCGGTTCTGATCCTACTATGCCCGGTTTCAATTGCAATGAAGCAAGGCAAGTGTAAAAGAACCGCTCTTTCCTGACAGCAGTTTTTTGGCAGTTCTTTTGAGAAGAAGCGATTAGCAAGCGTGTTCAGCAAGTGAGAACGATGGACCTGAATCACATCAAACTGGAGGGAAGGGATCACTGTGGAGGCACATCCCTCACCAGATTTTGGGGAGATCTGCCATTTCCCCCCTCCCCTTTCCCAGGACCCGTCCTACATTCCAACCTTCTGTCCAGGAGGAATTCCAAAAAGCCCTCCATTCTGAGCTTGACTAGAAAGCATGTCCTCCAAGTCTTGCAAGGCTGGGAGGTCACCACCTCAACTCCCCATGTCCTCCAAGTCCAAGGAAAGCTCACGCTGCCAACTTCTTTAACACTGCTATATATCTTCGAAACATGCCCAGCATTGATAGCAATAGCAGTTTCATTTATATACTGCTTCACACCACACTATGCAGTCTCTAAGCAGTTTACAACTGTAAGCTAATTGCCCCCAACAAGCTGAGTACTCATTTTAGCAACCTTGGAAGGATGCGAGCCTGAGCTCTGGCTGGTATTGAACTCACAACCTTGTAGTTTGTGAGTGAGTGGCTGCAGTACAGGCATTTAACCACTGCACCACCAGGGCTTTTAAATGATCAACACTGCGCAGCAGAAGAATGCCACCATTGATGTCTAGTCCAGGCTCCTGAGGTGGCTTCCACCACACAGTAGGGGTGACCCGGTTGGTTTTCAACAGCCATGACTCTAGGCTATGGGATTCTGGGAGTTTTGTGAGACCTTAAGGTCCCAAACACATTGGAGAAGTAATCCAGCTTTAACTGCCCTGGCTCAGTGCTAGGGAATCCTAGGAGTTGTAGTTGATTGTGGCCCCAGAGCTCTCTCTGACAGAGAAGACTAAAGGCCTTTGCAGACTGCCAGAAATAGT